GGGAAAGATTTAAATAGAATTTAAAAGGAGTAACAAAAAAGTTCCAGAGGAATTTTAAAAAGCTAGTTCAAGATTAAAACAGAGGTTAAAATATGTCCCTAACTTTGAAGGGGAACAGGAGCAAAACAGTCAACTAATTCAACATTATTTCCACCTAACAACTGAAACACTCGGAGTTGGCAACAAGCCAACACTCGTTGACTTGACTCTTCATGCTACTTGATTTCACATTCAATATTCAGAAAGAGTGACTCAGCTTTCTTTAAAAAAAGAAGAGAAAGAAAAAGCAACTTGGGAACAATCCGTAGCACAAAAAAATCTGGTTATATGGTAATTTCGTTACAAAACTATTTACCTTCTTTTTTGCATCTCACTTTATTTTTTTTAGTTCTTTACAAGCAGCTGTAAACCATAGATCCATTTTTCCAGAAAGGCAGTATTCTCTAGCATGTGACAAATTCATGCTAAATCTTCAAAGGAGGACAGAAGAATCCCTATCACAGCGGATCAAGAGCCAACTCTCCTCACATACTCACACTTCATTTGTAGACACTCAAATCTTAAACTGAGTATGGATTTGTTAAGAGATACTTACAATTTCTTTAAGGTCAGGATAATGGTCAAAATGGTGTCCCTTGAGAATTCTGAGGTTTAAAACCACTGAAGGTTAGGTTGCTCTAACACCTAACAACCTTACAAGAGCTCATGCTGATAGGAGTGTTTTGCATTCTTTAGAATGGCCCCTCGCTTTGTAAATAAAAAAGTACAAACCTGTTTCCCTAAAGAGTACAACATGGCATTTAAGAAACTTTGCACTGGGACTTCTATATACAAATGATGTCATAAGCAAATCAAAGCCATTTTTCCAACGGTGCTACAACCAACTGGTTCCTCTACAGAAACTTCTATCAGATGAAGAGAGTTCTTTTACGTACACTTACACTAAAATGAGCAGAACTTAAGGCAGAATTAAATGTGCAGCTCTATTAAATTACGTACAGGCTTCAAGCATGTCATGAAGCGCAAAACTAAACCACTTGATAAATATAGGTGTAAAAATTACTTCTTGAAATGTTTTAACTGTTTCAATAGATTATTTTGAACAATTAGCTAATAAATCACTGGTGGCAGAGAATTATACAAAATATACAACTTATCAGCTGTATTCCTTTTTTCCTATCAAATATATGCAAAAGGAAATATCCCATTAAGAGGGTCTATTAGACTTCTATGAAAAAGATGCAAGAGTGATTATGTTATAATATTAGAGAAGCCTTTTTTCACTACACATATTATTTTATTCACTACTTGGAAAAAGTGAAGTATGCTGTAAAGTAGTAGTAGTCGTAGAACAAAAATATTCTACTTGAGAGGTTCCCAACCCCTGGGCCACAAAGGGTTGGCTAACGGGCCATGGCACAAGCCCCCTGCTCGGACCCCCGTCTGTCTGCCTGGGCAAGTGGCTTCTGCTGCCAGCAGTCACGTGTGGGGTTAAAGCTGGGCAGCGGGGTAGCCCCAGGAAGGAGGTAGCCAGCTCAGTGAGCCCCATTCCAGTCCCATTGCCATGGCCATGCCCAGCAAGGCACTGCCTATGGAGCAGGTACCGGGGCCCACGCTGGGCTGAACAGGACCCTCCAGCCCCACCCACAGCTGGGAGCAAGATGTGGGCAGGGAAATGCCCAGGGCAGAGGACAGGGAGGCAGCCCTGCTGCTTGCTTCTAGGAAAGGCAGTGGAGTCCCTTCTTCCTAGGCAGCCCCCAGCTTGGTCCCCCCAGGCCACCACCTGCACAGCCTCCTCCCCTGCAGGGACCCCTGGTGCCCACAGCTGCAGCGCTCCAACCTCTACCTGGGTACAAATTTAAATTATCACAAATTTACATATTTAAATAACCACAATTTAAATATGTAAAATAGATTGTTTCTATACCTGGCCCGCCAAAACTCTTTGAGTGAATTTGCCAGTCCGCAGTATAAAAAAAAAAGATTGGGAACCACTGTTCTGCTTTACAGAGAACTGTTAGCCCTGCTCGAATGGGCTAACAGAGAACATAAAATAATGGAAAAGAATGGAAAGGAAAGGGGTACAGAAGATCAACCTGTTCCTCAGTTTCAGCACTGTAAAGCTTGGACTTACTCCTAAGCATTCTTCCATGAAATACACAACTTCAAAACACAGATCTTAATCATCCGTTGATATATAGATATCTATATATCTATATAGATATCTATATATAGTAAATTAGATATCATTTAGAAGCAATTTAGCCATTGTCACAGGTTAGTTTTAATGAACACATTTAAACTAAATCATTTACAATTATTTTGGAAGGCCATGTTCCTGTGTTGGCGGATCCTTACAATCAGGGAGAGGCCTATTAACCTCAGTGAGACTCCATGTGGGTGCAAGTCCACCAAGAACAAATTGTGCATCAGGGCTCTTTATTTCCTTAAAAGCCTCACCTGAATAATTCTGACATGGTTTTAACACTTTGCTACCAAACTATACAATATTCTGATGACATCATGAAAGATTCACACAGAGATCCTTATATACTAACCCATCTCTGCCACCAAATCCTTGCTGATTTAGTTAGCCTATACAGTGAAAATCTACCCCGTCATCTGCCAAATCGTTGCTTCCACAAGCTGAAAACTAGTTATCTTGACTCAAACCACATATCTTCCTATTCCACCTAGGGAGACACATATCTGTTTCACTTTGTCAATGGCCAGCTTTCTACAAAACCCCCAACCTCCCCACCACCTTTTCACCCTGCAAAGATGCACAGCTTTCCTATTCTGGCAACAGGAAGCCTGATGTAATCCCAAAGGGCAATTTTACATGGGAAGGCACATAGCTCTCCCATTCTTTCAAAGGGCAGTGTCAAGTGCTTCCAACCTGTTGGAATCCATCTCACTTGGAAGTATACCTTAACTAGTGAGTCAGTGCTACTCGATCAGGTAGACTTCAGTGTACAAGGAGGAGGAAAACCCACCCATCTTTTACCCAACAACCTAGGAGTTAGGATACTTGCCCAGAACATGGGTCACCTGAGGTTGAGGCCCCCCACTCCGCCACATCTCTCACTTCCTGCTTCTTACTTCAACCACCAGTCTTTGGGCAAGACCAGAATCCTGTTGAAGCTGGACTAGATGGAAAGAAATGTAAGATTCATAGAGCCAGAGGACAACATGCAAGATGGAGTCTGATTTGGCAGCCTAGTGAGAATGACACTCTCCTGAGAAGAAGCAGCCTTGCTCCAAATTTCATTCATGCAAAAATAAGGTGTAAATATTCCATAGTACTCCTCACATGAAACATGCTTTATAGTAGAGAAGCCATTCCAATTCTGCCACTCAAACGAACACTAATCTGAGGGACAGTGACATCTGACTTTTTTTTTTTTTGCAATTTTAAATGTACACAGCTTGATGTTTCCAATTAATGCAATAACACATTAAGTATGACCTCACTATAGATTCATTCTCTCTTCTCCTTTGCTCTCATTTTATATAAACTCTTCACAGAAAAAGTAATCCTTGTATTTGTAGAACCTTGTTAGAACATCATCCCAATCCCTACAGGGGCCACAGGAAATGAATACAATAAAAACAACAAGTTTTCCTGTTACAGCTTAAGCAAGCAAGCTACCCAAATGACTGACAGGCTGTCTCTCGCAGGTACACAACCTATTTAAGGTAGCAAGCTGTAGAAAAAGAGGAGAAATGGGGAGTCTGCCCAAAAGAAAAAGGACCCAGAAAGAAGGGTCCTTTTGTATATCAATACTTACAGGAATATTATAAAACAGAAAATAAGGATTAGAAGGTACCTCATGAGGTCTTCTAGCCTGACCCCCTGCTTAAAGCAGGACCATCCCCAACTAGATCATTCCAAACAAGGCTTCATCTACCCAGAGCTTTGCTGATTTAGTTAGCCTAGAACAGTGGCGGGCAATTATTTCAGGCGGAGGGCCACTTACTGAGTTTTGGCAAGCGGTCAAGGGCCACAAGGGGAGCCCCACCCCTTGACACGTGCCTGCTCCCTGGTTGCCATTTTGGGACCAGAAGTCCCACCCCTAGCCCCTGACCTTTGCTACTGGAAGTCCCTGCCCGTGCCCCCCACAGAAGTACTCCTTTCAGCAAGGGGTTGCCATCTCAGAACCAGAAAAATACCAAATTATAGTCTAAAAATCAGAAACTTACTACAACATTCATTAATTTGATTTCAAAAAATATTTTTGTCCTGATTTACATGCATTTGTGTAGTGTACACAGAGTCGACTGCACAATAACGTAAAATGAAATCTTAGTCTTGTATACTGTAGGGGGGTATGGGTGGGTGGGTATAGGTTTATGGGTGTGTGGGTATGTGGGGTGATACAGAGGGTGTGGGTGGAGGGTTTGTGGGTGGGTGTATGTGGGGTGGGACAGCATGGGGGGGGTGTGAATATATGGTATGGATGGGTGTGGGGTTTGTGAGGGGCTGTGAGTGTGTAAAGGGAGGGTGGCTAGGGAGGTTTGTAGCATGTGTAGAGGGGGAGGATTTGCCCACAGCCCCTTCCCCCTGTGGCAAGCAGAGCCCCCCTGCAGCACTCCTCCAAGCCCAGGCTCCACACTTCTGGCCCCAAGGCACTGGCATGGCCCCATGCTCCCGCTTGCTGCCACTTCCCCCACATCTGCCACCACTGCCCTTCTGCCATTTCCCTGTCCACCCACCCCCGCCCCCCAGCTCGCTGCTCCAGCACCACCTCCCAGCTACATGGCCAAGAGTGCAGGATGCAGCAGGAGTTGGATGCTACAGGTCCGGCTGGCACTGCACAGGGTCAACCGAGAATCACAGGGGCCAGGCCAGCTCCTGTTTTGTCCTGCAGCCTGGCGCTGCAGCCAGGAACAACGTGGTGCCAGAGCAACTGGTGAGGGGATGGAGGGGAGCAGCAGCAGGCAAATAGCTGCGGCAGGTGGGGGGGAAGTGGCAGCAAGTGGGCACATGGAGCTCAGTGACAGCTGGGCAGGAGCACAAGGCCTGTGCAGTACACTGGGGTCAGTGCCTGCCATTGGGGCCCAGAGCAAGGCAGCAGGGCATAGGCAGGCAGGGGCTCTATGGAGCCAGGCCGGGCTGCGTCAGCAGGGGAAGAGGGGGTCACAGCTTCCCTGCCTGCAGCTGCCCTCGCTCCTCTCCGCTCTCCCATCAGCCATTCTGGCACCACATGTCTCTCAGCTGCAGTGCCAGGACCACAGCAACCGGCCTGGCCTGGCCCGAACCTGAGGACTGCAGCAATCACCCACAGCCCTCCCCTGCCTTCTTATCTGAATTTCCCTCAGGCACAGGGAAGCAGGAACAGCCCCAGGGACGCAGGCCAGAAGCCTCTGCTCCACACAGGGCTTCTGGCTAGGGGTGGGGGGACGGGGCCACAGGGCCTTGCTTCTGCAGCCGCTTAATCCTGCTGGCAGCTTCCCCCAGGTCCTACTGCTCCTGACTTATCAACTTTGACAGGCAGCCAGGAGCAGATAAATATTAGTTTTCTAAAATGTTTACGGGCCCCACGGACCGGATAGAACGGCCTGGCAGGCCAAATCTGGCCCGTGGGCTGTATTTTGCCTGCCCCTAGCCTATAAAATGCAAGTTTACCCTGCCTTCTGACAAATTTTTGCTGCCACCAGCTGAAAACTAAGTATTTTTTTGGTTTGGGATTTGAAAACCCTTATCAAATAACCTTTTGGTCTTCTCCAGACTAAATAATATCAGTTCTTCCAAGCTCTCCTCCTTGTGTGTCATGTTTTCTTGACCTAAATCCTGGAAATATGCACACACATTTACTGTCCCTGTGCCCTTTTCTCACTTCTGATGTTGAAAATTACTTAAGGATAGTAATTTTCAAACCCAAGACAGACGGACCATATTTTTTTCCTGCATGAAAACTTGTGCATACCGCATTTCAAGCCTAAGCCGTTTAGTGTCACCAAATCTTGCCGTTTTAAATGAGGTAGATTATTTGGTCTCCAAAGATTTGCTAAGCTCTCGCTACATCTGTTTCAGAAAACAGCTTCCCTCCCCCACCCCCGCCTAGTTGGCAGATTTGACCGCAGTTTGCTCGACCCCCTTCCACTACCCACACATGCACGCAAGTTTTAAACAGTTGTGAAACATAGCTGCAAAGGCACAAAAAAGGGGCAGGGTCCCCAGCTACTGTGCAAGAAAGCAAGCTGTCATAAAAAAAAAAAAAAAAAGATAAATCAAGCTAAAGAAAAACCTTTTGCATCACTGGTTTGCTCGTGGTGCAGTCCTGTGGGACCAAAAACTGCTGGTGCTAGGTAGCCTACACAGGCAGGGAAGAGAAATCCAGCTCCCAGGCTGGACAATCCCCTGCTTTACCTTTGGCAGAGTAGGCTGTTCAGTTTGTGCTGTGTCAGGGTTGAGGGGACAAGGTTTCTTAGTTTCATAGTAGCTAGAGTCAGGAGGGACCTGATCAGATCATCTAGCCTGACCCCCTGCCACAGGCAGGAATGAATGCTGGGTTCACAAGATCCCATACAGGTAATCATCTAACCTCTTTTTGAGGTTCATCGGGTAAAAGTGGTATCTTATTAGACCAACTCAAATAGTTGGAAAAAATCTTCTTTGAAAGCTTCCAGGTGCAAACACCCTTCATCAGGCTGAGGAAGCGTCTGCAGCTGGTTATGGGGATGCTTATGTAGAGTGAAAATGATGCTTGCACAGGATGCTTGGGCTACGAGTGATCAGGCTGGGGGTTGGACCAGATGCCCTCTGGAGGCCCCTGCCAGCCTAACTTCTCTAGGACTCTAGGAAAAGCCGTTTAATGCATGTGTAGATATGCCCATAATGCTCATTAAATTTAGCTCTCCAATGTGGGGTACTAAAGAAATACACATTAGGCTGCCTTAATGCGTAGTAATGAATGTGAATGGTTTTTAAGTGATGCTTCACGCACAGAAGCCTATTTTACTACACATTCACATAAACCATTTTTTACCTGGCACTTCAGGGCACAGTAAAACAGGCTACTGCACATTAAAGCACACATACTGACACATCCTATGATGCTAACCCTCTTGCGGTGGCTCCCTAGGCAGGGATGGCATCAAGCCCTGCCTGTGCCTGGGACTGGCTCTGCTCAGCAGGCCATGAGCAGACCAAGCTGCACCTGTGGCACCGCGTGGCTGCTCCCCCGCACCCGACCCGACCCGACCCGGCC